AAAAAAAAGAATCTCACAGACCTTCCTGCTCTGAACCTTGATCCTCAGAGCTCAGCCTCCCAAGTAGCAAAGATTGTAGACGTGAACCACTGGTGCCTGATCTCCATACATGTTTTACTCTAGCAAATGAGTTCCAAGATCAACGACCAGAAGGCAGGGACCTTGAACTTTCTCCCTGCTTTTGTAGCATTTGCTTCCCGTCCTCCCCTATGCATATCACCCCTGACTAGCTGAGGTCTGAGCAGATCCCTCCCTGAGAGGACACAAGAATGGGGGGAGGAGGAGGATGCCAAGCAGCTCCAACACCTGCTGACATTGAGCTGCTTCCTGGATCCCACACCCAGTCCTGGAAAACCTGGAAGACAGAGGGTAGCTACCCATCTGCTCTGTACACGTCACCAACCCTTCTGGGCTGCTGGCTGGGGCTTCCTGAGAACAGGACACTAGAGAGGAAGGGGACTTCTGTTTCCCCAAAAGTGCTAGGCATCATACACCTGTTCCCTGATTTAACTCTAACAGCTCCCTCACGTGGGCATTGAGAACTGTGAACTTTTTTTTTTTTTCCTTTTTAAAATTTTTTTTTTGCTTCTGGTCCCGGGGCTTCAATTCAAGACAAGGGTGCTGTCCCTGAGCTTTTGTGCTCAGGCTAGTGCTTGACCACTTGAGCCACAGTTCCACTTTCAGGTTTTTTTGGTGCTTAATTGAAGATTAGAGTCTCACTTGCATGCCCCCACTGGTTTCGAACCATGATCCTCAGATCTCAGCCTTCTGAGATTACAGACATGAGCCACTCTAGCACCCAGCATGAACTCAATTCTTTAGCTGAAAGACTCACAGGGACTGGGAAGGTGGCTCAGTGGTAGAGTGCTTGCCTTGCATGCATGAGGCCCAGGGTTCGATTCCTCAGCACCACATAAGCAGAAAAAGCCAGAAGTGGAACTGTGGCTCAAGTGGTAGAGCGCTAGCCTTGAGCTGAATAGTTGGGGGACAGCGCCCAGGTCCAGAGTTCAGGCCCCACCACCAGAAAAAAAAAAAAAGACTCAGAACAAGGGCCTCTCCCACTCTAGAGTATTCCCAGCAGAGTGCAGGACTCTGCTGCCTTGGTCAGTCTGGTGTTCCCCTGGGTAGGGAAGATGACCTCCCCAGATAAAGATGTTTTATTACCTCTGTGCTAAGGAAGTTTAAGGCCCCCTTAAATGACTCATATACTAAAGACTCATATACTATGGGAGCTGCTATCTGATCTGATTACTGGAATTCAAACAAGGGAAAGCCCTTTTATTGCCCCATGCTACACAGGGTGACCAGAAGTCCAGGCCCTAGCCTTTGAGTCTTCTGATAAGGAGCCTTGTGTTCCACACAATGGCTAATTGCCAGAGGGTTTCAACCTAAGAAGAGCCTGTCAGGTGGGCATTGTGAAATGTACTTTCATCTTCATGAGGACGTTTTATCCTCTCAGATTCCTAGCCAGCCAGCAAAGGTCAGGCTGAGAGTTTAAAATATGAGAGTCAGGGGTGTGGGTGTAGTTCAGTGTCCTGCCCTTGCCTAGCATGCATGAGACCCTGGATTTAATGCCCAGGACCACAACAAATTACAAAACCAACCAACCAAACAAGTGCCACCAACAACGAAAAGAAAAAGTACACAAGGGCCAGACCAAGAGAAAGTGACATTTCTTGTCCTCTGTGCCCTCCCCAGAGGCAACCCTTTCTTTACTTTCCACTAACTCTGATGGTGTTGAAGGTGATGAAATAAAAGCTTATTTGGGGGAAGGAGGATGGGATTAAGCTCCCGGACACTGATCATCCTCCGTTTTTCTTTTTTTTTTTTTGTCAGTTGTGGGCCTGAACTCTGGGCCTGGGCGCTGTCCCTCAACTCTTCAGCTCAAGGCTAGTGCTCTACCACTTGAGCCACAGTGCCACTTCCGTCTTTTTCTGTGTATGTGGTGCTGAGGAATTGAACCCAGGACCTCCTGCATGCAAGGCAAGCGCTCTACCACTGAGCCACCTTCCCAGCCCCTCCTCTGTTTTTCTAATTATGACTGCATTTAGTTTGTGAAACAGTACTTTTTGATCTGTGGTTTTTTTCTGATCAATGTTAGACTTCAGTTAAATTAAATAAATAAATACATAAATAAGAGTTTCTGAGCACTGGTGGCTCATGCCTATAATCCTAGCTGCTCAGAATGCTGGAATCTGAGCATCTAGGTTTGAAGCCAGCCCAGGCAGGAACTTCTGTAAGACTCTTATCTCCAATTAACTATTTAAAAAAGCCAGGAGTGGAGCTCTGCCTTAAGTGGTAGAGCACTACATTGAGGAA